CCACAGTGCTAGGGGAAACCAAGGTAGTCCAAAGAGTAATGGAAGCAAGTCAAAATGTTTCAAGTGCAAGCAATCAGGGCATTGGTGAAGGAATGCCCTTAGAAACTGTCTAAAACTTGTGGGTCATGTCAGAACATGGAAGAGGATCCTTGGTATTGGAGCAGGGATGACCCTCATTCTCAGAGAGGGATGAGTCATCTCTCACTATGGTGGCCAGGGAGTAAGGCCCAGACAGTGAGTGATGGCACCAGGGGCAGCCTGCATGGCAAACACATGAGTATTCTGATCAATTTACAGGAGCCTTGTGTGACTCTAGAAATAGAATAAGTTATATTTCTCTGTGATACTGGGGTGACTTATTCAATGCTAGTTCTTTTGTTGGGGTGACTTATTCAATGCTAGTTCTTTTGTTGGGGTGAGCTTTCGTCTTGTTTTAAAGTCATGGTGGACCTTGAAGGAGTCAGCTGGACACCTTTCTTTAATCCCCACTCTGAATTGCCATTTGGAAGATTTTGTTTTCCAAGATGCCTTTATGGTGATACCAGATGCTCCATACTCAGGAACTGGAAGAAATATATTCTTCCTACTGAAGGCCACTCCTAGTTACTGGGGACTCAGGCAGCCTGACCCTGTGAGGCCTGATGTCTTCACCAGGAGTTGATTCCCAAGCATGGTATGACATCTCAGGAAGGGCTGTCAAGGTCATTCCAGTAGTCATCCAGCCATAATCTATATCCACACACACACACAAAATCCCCAATACAGTAAGACTTTAAAAAAAAAAAAAAACTAACTGGGGTTAAAGCCTGTTACTGATCAGGTTTTGGCTACAAACTTACTGGTGCCATGCTGGTTCCCATGCAATATATCCATTTTACCAGTAATCTAGCCATTGGGAAAGTATCACCTAGTACAAAATCTCAGGGACATCAATGAGGCAGTGGTACCTATTCACCAATTAGTAACAGACCTGTGTACCCTTTTAGCCCAGATCCCAGGAGACACAAAGTGGTTCTCTGTCCTTGATCTCAAGGTTATTGTTATGGATTAAAAACTGGTGATCAATTTAACACCAGCTGAATTAAATCAGCATGGTGCTGAGTGTAGATGGCCCACCTAAGGACTGTTGACAGCAAGAGGAGGAGTGAGGTGTTTTGAGCTCTTCTAAGTGGTGTTGTTTGGAGCCACTGGTTTCCCTGGAGGAGCTTGTCATCATGACTAGCTTCCCTGATATGAATTCAGCCATTCTCATTGGAGGAGCTCGGGACCTTGTTGCTGAGAATGGCCGCAGTTCATTTTAGAGGAGCTCTAGTCTTTACTTTGAGCATCACTTCCTGACTCCAGAAGGGAAGATGTGTGCTGTTTAATCTCCAGGAGGCTTGTCACACTGGTTTCCTGATATGTACTTGACTGTTCTCATCATCAGAGGAGCTCAGGATCTCATTGTCACTGAGGATGGCTGTGGTACATTTTAGGGAAGCCCTGGTCCTTATTTTGAGCATCGTTTCTTGGCTCTACTGCAAAGCCCTCAACCTACTGCTCACACAGATCCTTCATCCCACTGGCATAGACTTTCTAGCTTCCACTGCTGACCTTTGGGCCTTTCCAGTGCAGATCCATAAAACAGACTGGCATGAGTCATTGTTGTGGGCTCTAAACCTCCAGTTGGACTTGCAGGAGGCATTGTCATGGGCTCTGGGTCTTTAGCTGGATTCATGCAGGACATTACTGTAGGATCCAGGCCCTTTGCTGGATTTCCTAGGTCTTTAGTGCTGTGGACAGATTTTCTGTACTTTCTTTTTCACTTAACTCTGGGTGACCATCATAAAATAATATTATAAATTCTTTGTCCTGATTGTAATTGTTCTCCTTGCAACCCCTGACTACAACAATCATCTTCTTTCCTAACCCTGTGGATGCTAACTACCAATATTTGTATGCCTTTGAATGGGAAGATCCCTAAACAGCTCTTTGCCAATAGTGTACTTGGCATGTCTCATTCAGGGCTTTAGAGAGAGCCCATATCTGTTCACAGAGGCTCTTTCTCAACACTTGAGAGATTTAAAATTCAGAAAGGGAGCCCTATTACAGTACATCAATGACCTCATGTATAGCCCTACTAAAGAGTTATATGATAAAAGTACTATTAAGACTCTCAATTTTTCAGCAAAAAGTAGTTACAAAGTGTCCCAACATGAGGCCTAGATTTCTCTTCAAAAGGTGACATATCTGGGGTATGTTTTAACTCCAGGACAAAAACAACTATTCTCAAGGAGAACAGAGGCAATTTGCCATCGGGGTCCCCTAGTCTAAATGACAGCTGAGGGCTTTCTTGGAAATTTCAGGTTACTACTTCATATGGATATCTCATTTTGGGGTAATAGTCAAACTCTTTTGTTGGACAACTCAAGGATCAACAACTGAAACTTTAAAATGGACAGCAGGCACTCAAGGGGTTTTTAAAGCCTTAAAGTAGGCCCTGATGCAGGGCCCAGCACTAGAAATCTCAGACCTAATGAACTCTTCTTTTCTCTCTTCATGACTGAGATATATAAGTAGCCATGAAAATACCAACTCAGCCTCTGCTCCAGGAAAGCCAACCAGTTGCCTATTTTTCCAAGAGACTGGATGAAGTGATGCAGGGCTAGCCTAGCTACCTGTGAGTAATAACAGCAATGGCAATATTACTTTAGGAGGAGTCTAAGATAACCTTGGGACAAAAGCTCTTAGTTCTAATCCTAAGCCTGGTTAAGGCTCTGTAGAACAAATGGATTATTTGTAGATGACCAGAGAAAAACTCAGTAAATTATCAGGCCATTCTTATTGAAAACCCAGATGTTTCTCTTCAGCCTTGCACTCTTTTAAACCCAACCATGGTCCTCTCCAACCAATCAACAGAACATGAGTGAGAATGAACCATCACACCGAATTATGCCAGCTGCCCAATGAAAGGGACTGGCCCAGAGCTGGGCATGGTGGCTCACGCTTGTAATCCCAGCACTCAGGAGGCTGAGGCAGGAGGATCATTGGGAGTTCGAGACCAGCCTGGGCTACAAAGTGAGCTCAAGGCCAGCCTGAACTGCAATAGTGAGACCCTGTCTCAAAAAGACAGAAAAAAAAAAAAGAAAGAAAATAAAAAGAAAGGAACTGGCCCTTGACAGATACAGCTAGCATGCGGTTCACAGATGGCAGCAGTTTCATGAAGGATGATGTTGGGAGGGCAGGTTATGCCACTCTCAGCTCTACCCAGGTCACTGAAGGCAAAGGAATTTCCCTGGGTCTTCTGCTCAAAAGATAGAGCTTTTCCTTTCACTCAGGCTCTTCAGCTTGCTCAGGAAAAGAGGTTAGATATATTCCAAATATCTCTTTCTCATCCTGCATGTCCATGCAGTCATCTGGAAAGAAAAGACTTTGGACTAGTTGCCAGTCTGCAATAAAACATGAAGCAGAAATCTTCAACCTTCTTGTGACAGTAAACTTCCAAGTGAAATAGCAGTTGTGTATTGTTGGGGACATCAAGTCTCCTTGTTTATTGTGTCCCAGCATAACTTTAAAGCAGATTCTACTGTAAAGCAGGCTGCTGTTCAATATAATTCCAGCCAATCACTAGCTTTACCCACAGTCCTCTTATAGGATCTTGACATAGAGTCAGGATATTCCACAAAAAGCTTCAATAACATCATGAGGGAGAAAAGGGTCAGTGCTAGTGTGGGAAACTGACTGTTATTTCCACAATGAGTGCAGGAGAAAGTCATTAAGTTCCTACAAGATGCTTTCCATTTAGCGTGAGATGCCACCACCACTGTAGCACATAGTAACTCAGGGCTGTAAGATATATCCCGTCTGTGCCCTCCGTAATCCATGGACTTATCCTCCTCCATTGTTTGATCAAGCACAAAGTTGTTAGTCCTTCCCTAGAGAAGACTGGCAAGAGTAAGGGGCATATGCCTAAGAGTAGGGGCCCACGCACCTCTTGGTGGGTATTAATATCTTTACTGGATGGAAAGAGACCTTCCCTAACAGGTCAGAACAGGCTTTGGACATGGGAAAAGTCCACCTTAAAGAAGTGATCCCTAGGCTTGGACTTCCTAGGTCTATTGAGAGTGATAATGAATCCTTTTTTATATTCTGAATCATTCAAGGAGTTTCCAAAGCACTGGGAATTACATGCCATCTTCACAATGCATGGAGACCCCAGTCACCAGGAAAAGTCAAGAGAGCCAATCAAAATTCTCAAATTGTAGCTGTGTAGAGAAACCTACCATAAGTGACTGAATCTTCTTCCAATTGCATTAATGAGGCTTTGTCCCCTCACCCCCCAAATCCAAACTTAATCTTGGGACTTTTGAAATGCTTTTTGGGAGACCCTGCTTGATATCTCATTTATTTATTAACACCAAAACTTCCTAGCTGGTCTGTTTGGGAAGGGTTTAACAGACCCTCTGGAAATATGGAAGATTCTTCCACACATAGAGATTAATAATTATTGTCAGTACAATGCCTGCTCTAGTGACCAGGTCCCAATCAATACTTAGGAGGAAGGTGGACTTCCAGGATCAACTCACACCCAGATGGGAAGCCCTTACACAACCCTTCTGATCACTCCTTCTGCCATCAAGGTAAAGAGAAGAGATAGTTGGATTTACCTTATCAGGTAAAACCCAAGCTGCCTGAAATAGCAGAAAATGAAAAAGATTGACTGTAAATTTTGTATACCTGTGAACAAGTGGACAGCCTCAGGCTTTCTTTCAGAAAAAGAAAAACTCACTGTTGGGCATAGTGGTGCAAGTCTCTAATCCCGTACTTGGGAGGCTGAAGCAGGTGGGTCACTATGGGTTCGATGCCAGCCTGGGCTGCAAAGTGAAGCTAAGCAAGCCTGAGCTGCATAGTGAAACCCTGTCTCAGAAAGCAGGCAAGAAAGCAAGAAAGCAAGCGAGCAAGTAAGCAAGCAAGCAAGAAAGAGTGTTATTTAGGTTTAAAAAAGGAAGAAAAACATTAACCACTTTGTTAACCAATCAAATTTATTCCCTCTAAGTAAATTATGTGGATAGTCTTGCTACATTTTTTTGTTTACTACACTTGATTGAGGTCACTATCCCAAGTTATAGCATAATTTTTTCTCTTTTCTTTCTGTTTCTTTTGGGATCCTCCTGGGTGATTCACAAATTGCCTCTACTAGAGACAATAAACAGTGATTATTTGCATAAGACCTTAAAGCTAATCACATCTTTTTCCTATAGTCACCATCTACTTGAGAACTTGACAGCCTAAATGAACTTATTCAGAGTGTGGGCTATTATTACATATCAAAAGCTTATGGAAGTGGATGTTGTAGATATTTTTGCCTGGAGTTTGGAATGAGTTTTTATATGAAAGAAGGCCAAGTATTTGTTTGAGTAACAGTGCATTGAGCTATAAGTAACTGTAACTGCAGTGGCTTAAAACTATGATACACATATGTGCTTTACTTAAGCCATCTGGAAGTAGGCAGCACAACTAGCAATTCATGCAGGTCCATGCTTCCTCTCCACTGTCCTCCGTGTTCTGGTCTTTCATGGCGCTCATCATCTTCTGAATTGTAGGTGGCAGCCAATGTGCCAGGCAGGATGTTCTTGTGCCAGTATTTCAGAGGAGTGCGGCATGTCTTTCTTGGCAGTGGAAGGGGCTCTCACATCTCATTGACCACGACAGGATCAGCAGCCAGCCCCTACATCAGTCACTGGGGAAGGGGAATAAGATGACTATCATCTGATTCTTTTGGAGCAATCATACTGCATTCAATAAAGAGGCACAAGAGTGTATCTATCCTCAAACCCAGGTGTGCAGGGGAGGGATCCGCTGTTGTAGCAGTGAGTATAGCCACCTTGAGTTTAGCATATGGGATGAACAGAATTATTCCGTGCATATTATCATATCATAGTGCACGAAACTAGAAATTGATGGCAAAAGAACCCACATAAAACTATGGAAATTAAATAATACTCTCTTGAATAATCAATGGGTCACAGATGAAATTAAAGAAGAAACTAGATGGTCTACAATCCATCAATAATGCCACTATGACACATCGTAACATATGGGATGGAATGAGAACTGTGCAAAAAGAGAAGGTCATCACAGTGACTTCCCACAGCAGAAAAACAGAATGAGCTCAAATAAATAACCTAGTGGTGCACCTCAAGGTCCTGGAAAAAAAAGAACAATATAAATCCAAAGCTAATACAAGGAAGGAATTATAAAGATCAGAACAGAAATTAATAAAATTAAGACTAAAAAACCCAAAGAATCAATGAATCAAAGAATTGGTTCTTTGAAATATTAAACAAATTAAACAAGCCCTTAGTAATCTTACCCAAAAAGAAAAGGCCCAAATCCATGCAAACAGAAATGAAAATGGTAAAATCACAAGAGTCAGCTGAAATCCAGAAGATTATCAGTAGCTATTTTGAGAACATGTACTGTCATAAAATGGAAAACTCAGAGGAAAGGGACAAATTCTTAGATATATGTGAACGACCAAAACTGAATCAAGAAGATACAAAAAAATCCTGAATAAGCCAACACCAGCCAGTGAAATTGAAGAAGTAACTTTTAAAAATACAAACTAAGAAAAGCCCAGGTCTCCAGGAATTCACTGCTAAATTCTATAAGAATTTTAGGGAAGATCTAAATGCCAATACTCTTCAAATTCTTTAATGAAATCTAAAAGGAAGCAGTCAGTACTCCCAAAGTCATTCCTGGAACAAGCATTACCCTGACCCCCAAACCAGAAAAGAATCCAACCAAAAAAGAGCTATAGGCCAATCTTTTTCATGAACTCTGGTGCAAAAATCCTCAATAAGATACTAGCAAACAGGATGCAGCAAATTATCAAAAAGATCACACATCATTCCCAAGTAGGATTCATTCCAGGAATGCTGTGATGGTTCAACATTTGCAAATCACTAAATGCAATACACCACATAAACAGAAGCCAGAACAAGAATCACACTATGATCTCAGTAGACTCAGAAAAACCATTTGACAAAATTAATACATTTTTCTTCGAAAATGTACTGAATACAATGCAATCTTTTATGGACCCTGTAAGTAGGTAATTTTCAATCTTTTAGTTTGAGAATCGATTCTTAGCATATTGTTAAGCTGCAAATATTTAGAAGGATGGTTAACAGTTTACTGTGAAAAATTCAAGGAACTCTGTTGTTTGTGTTGTGCTCACAGAATGAAATTTACAACTATACACAAACCCCATTTGTTTCCTCACCCCTGATATGGCTCAGGGAAGCTAAGGTCACTGAAGATGAGCAAGTAGGAGATCACTTTTCTTGTCCGAATTAAAGACTCATCTTACTGCACTATGGGGGAGCTCGCTCAATCAACATGCACTGTGTTCCCGCGGTTGCCAGTTTGTGGCTGTGTTCTGCTGGGGCCAAAGAGACTTGGGAAGATGCAGCTGTAATGTAAAGAAAGTCGAGATTCTAATGATTGTGCAGTGTGAAGTACTGCAAGTGGAATCGCTTTTATTCTTGTGGAAAGAATAGATGGACTCAGGCCTCTCTGCGCACTCACATTCTGGAATGCCTAAGCACCCAGCGTCCCCGGCATCCCAGCCTGCGGACTCCGCCCAGGTCCCAGTGCCGACCTCCCGCCACAGGCGTCGCTGTGAGCTCGCGCCCTGCCCCGGGAGCTTCGTTCCGCCGGGAGCAGGCGCTCGTGCAGAGCAGGGCTTTCAGTTTCTGGCGCGAACTTCCGCCGTTCCAAAGTTACCAGGCAAATTGGCGCGATGTCGGGGGACAGTAGCGGCCGCGGGCCGGAGAGCCGGGGCCGGGGTCGCGACCCGCACCGGGATCGCACCCGCTCTCGCTCCCGCTCGCGTTCCCCGTTGTCTAGCCGGAGTGTCGGGTCGGAACGCCGGGAGGCCCCGGAGCGCCCGAGCTTGGAGGAGGGAGAGCCGTCGGATTCAGGGGACGAGATGGTGGACCCGGCCACCCTGGAGGCCGAGACCGACCTCGGCCTGTGCCGCCAGATTCGCCATCAGTACCGGGAGCTTATCAACTCGGTCCAACGTAAGACGGTGCCTCAGGCGGCCGGGCGGGTGAGGAGGGGCCGCGGCAGGTGGCGGCCCAGGCCCGGGAGGCGGGGTTCGCGGCGGCCGAGCCTTCGTTTGTTTACAGTGCTCCCCCGCCAGCTTAGTGGCTGGCACGCCAGAGGACCGGGGTGAGGGGCGGGCTGGCAGAGCTGGAGGCCTGACCCGAGCGGTCCCGCAGCCAGTAGCTCAGTCAATGGGGGAGAGCGTGACGCGGACGCCGGCTGCTTCTTACTGCATTCGGCTCTTACCTGCCTGGGCTCGCGGGCCCAGTAGCGACAGCATCCCCTGAAGACTGTCAGAAATGCACAGTCTCCCTCCCCACCCGGACCCACCAAATCTGAAACTCAGAGGTGAGGGCGTCGGTTGCGTGGCTGTCTACGGGAACCAGTTAGTTGCAAAGTTTGTGAAACGCCCATTTAACGGAGCCCTGCTCAGAAGCTGCAGGGAGTCGAGCCCCTTGAATTAAGATTAAAAGAAGCCAGGTGTTCCTTTTATCTTTCAAGCTGTTTAAGGGGTGCAGTTGCCTTTCTCTTTCCTTGCCATTTTATTAAAAGGTGAGGCTGCTTTAAGTCATTACTCCTGGAGCAGAGGTGGGGCTTGGCTTTACTATCACAGGTGATAACCTTGTCAACTACTTCATCGTGAATGGTGAACACATTTTCCGGTGACTTTTTTTTTTTTAATAGAAAACCGGGAGGATATACTTAACGCCAGCGACAAATTAACAGAGGTCCTTGAAGAGGCCAACACTCTATTTAATGGAGGTAATTGATTATTTTACATTACCATGTTTGATGATTGTTAATTAGTTTTATATAAGAGCTAAATTATTGACATTACACAATTCTCAGAATTATTGTAGTGCTTCACCAAATTTTGGAACCTTTATTTATCGTAGTAACAATACTACTTTTATTATACACTTACCCAGGTGCTAAAGTTATACCAAGGACTGCATGAAATTATGAGGCAAGCCCCACAATGTATATTAACAAGCTTCCCACATGTTGCCTGTTCCTATTTGAGAGATTTACAAATGTAAATTTTTAATGAAAGAGGAACTGAGGTAGCCTCTGATGTCCTGGTGTTCTTTCCCCTTCTGAGCCCCCTCCATCAGCTGTGGGACTGTGTATATACCTTCGTGAGGTGGCCTTGTCCCCAAGTGTGCCTGCCAGTCTCCAAGGGAAGGCAGGGAGTGAGCTCAGAGCATTGAACTCTGGTCCATTGGAGTTTTGAAAAATAATCTTAGTTTGGATTAAAAAGCAATTGCAGAAGTTGTGTTCAATGGAGGGCAGGTTGGGGTACTCCTGGATGTGGGTGCTGGGTCAAAGAGCTATAGGACCTATCAAGACACTGCTCCTCCACTTTCTTGAAAGCTCTGTGGGAACAGAAGGGGAAAATGCAGATACATATTTTGACTAAAAAAAAAAATTCACAGAATTGGTCATGTCCTGACACCATAATTCCTATTTGTCCTGGATCAGAATATTTATTTCTAGTCATTTTCTAATACAGCTAGAGGTTTCAGTGTTACCACTTTTTAACACTTTCTCTTCTACAGTCTCCAATTTGTGGCTTTCTGCTGACCATGGCCTTCCTCATGTGGTCCATTACATTTGTAAATCTCATGAGCACCTTGAGGAAGTAGGTCTTCCACTTTAACTTGAACAAATCTTTTCCCTAATCTGCATTTCCTTCCCTCCACAGCTTGAATTCACAGACTTCTCACTCTTATTCTTGATCCATTTACTACCTTGATATTTATTGTACATCTTATAGATCATTATGCACATGTCATTTGTGCCCCTCAGATGTTTCCTAGGTTAAGAGAGGAATTTAAGGCGAAATTGTTCACTCAACTGGACCTTACGAATTGCTCAGCAAATATAATTCTAGATGCTTGGCATTCATGAATGTGATGTCTCTGATTTAAGTCTTTCGAGGTTGTGTAGTCATCTGTGACATGGTACTCGGACTTTTCTTGCAGTGGGCTGATGAATAGGAGAGATGTAGAATAGAGCCCAGGAATGAATCTACCCAGTAACCATCATCTGCATCCACTTCGTTCCCTTATTCGTTGTCATTTTAGCAGTGACTCTTCTGAAATGATGAAAACTTTTACCTTTGAGAACATGAAGGATAAGAACAAAAGCTGGAGTCGACAAGTTCTCCAGCCAAGTATTGGCTGTGTGTGTGACGATTGTTGAGGATATCAGTGCTTCACATGCGATGACCTTGAGGTATAAGCCAGTTACAGGCATCTGTTTGAACATGGCCGAGTTCTTGTCTTCCTGACTCCTTTTAGAATTCTCTTTTGCAGATGTTCTCGTGATACTTTTTCATGCTCCCTGTTACCCATGTCTGTTAAGCCCTGGGTGCTCAGCCCTGCTGTTTTCTCCATCTCCCCAAACTTCAAACCAAGTCTCCTTACACATAGAATTTGACTTGCCTTATGTCAGCACAGGCGAGATTAGTGATTAGAATAGGCTGAGTTGAAGGGGAAAATGAATGTTGGACATGATCAAGGATTTTGTTAAATTAGGGTTATGAAGAAACTATGGTTAAATTTACTTGTATGTAAAAGCTAGAAAGAATGCTGCTTTTAGGAAGACTGGTGAGCTTTGATTGAGATTTTGGTGAAGTGCTTGGGCAGCCAGTTTTGGAAGATGGATCTTTTTTCACCTTACTGAGATTGGGGGGCGGGCAGTTGGAAATCCTAGTAAGTAGCTGGAAAAATCAGTTGATAATGTGTATTTTGTAATGTGTATATTGTCCTTTTCTTGATAGTGTCCCGAGCAAGAGAAGCAGTCCTAGATGCCCAGTTTCTTGTGCTGGCTTCAGATTTGGGCAAAGAAAAAGCAAAGAAGCTACGGTCTGATCTGAACTCATTTGATATGTTAAGATACGTTGAGACTCTGGTAAGTTCAGAGTTACAGAACTTGAACAAAAGTGTTTCTTGTCGTACTGTATGATCATCTACTTATACCAGTGTGCAGATGTTTTCACTCACTGCACCCCATCCCCTTTTTTTTCTAATCTCCAGTTCTTCTAAAGAGATCTTAAGTTAAACAGAAGAAACTAGACTGCATGGTAGAATTTAGGCGTTTAGACCAGTTTGAAAGTCTTAGTGTTCAAGACTCTAGGTGCAATGGGTATTTTTAAGGGACTGTTTCGTCAGTCGTCAGTCACTTTTGTAACATCAGTCTCAGTGACCTGAAACCTTTGTTTTGAACTGGGCTAAAGCCCACGCTGTAGGGGGCATAGCTCAGCTGGAGATGAATTAGGCCTAAGGAGGAAGCATATATTGATCTGTCTTTGAGAATATTTAAAACCATATGAATATGACTGCATTTTGCTCTTCGATTTTATTTTTATTGATTGTTTCATAACAAGTTCGAATAGTTGTTACCTAGTCAAGTAGTTCTGATTTACCAAGAAAAGCACACAGAGATTGACTTTATCTTTATTGTTTTATTTATTCTATCCTGAGCCAGCCTCTGTCATAGCACAGAGAGGTGGACCTTGGTATGAACATGGAATTTCTAACTGGAGTTGATATTACATGGTTATTAAAATGGTTTAGTATTGTGAGATCTGATCAGATAAAGTGACTATTTAAAAAGGCACAAGGCAAAACAATTCTGCTTTGTTTTTAAAACCTTAAAATTTTCTTTAAAAAAAAAGCAAACTTGTGAAAAATTGTGAAATGTAATGGATTTAGGAAAATGGATGCTTGTGTATGGCTCTAAGTGACCATATGCTGGGTATATATGTTTTAATTATATTTTTAAAAATCAAGTTAAGCATTATACTTAAACGTGTCAAAATAAATTCCAGAAGTCTTAAAACAGTAAATATAAAACCTTAAGTTTTCTAGACTGGTTGGGGAAGGCCTTCCCAAGAACCATATCAGACATAGACATTATATGGAAGAGATTGGCAGATTTCCGGTCTTTTTTTTTTTTTTTTGTCTTTTTCCTTTTTATTGGTACCGGGGATCGAACTCACGACTGCCTGCTTGCAAGGCAGGCACTTATGCCGCTGAGCTAAATCCCCAGCCCCGAGATTGGCAGATTTGACCAGCCAAAAGTTGAAATATCCTCCTATGAGGGTCAGATAGTAAAAGTGGGCTATAAGTGACTGAAGGAGAGCTGACCATACTGCTCTGGTCAGGCCCTTGTAGCTTTTCTTTCTTTAAAGTTTTTCTGCTTTTAAATAAGGCTAAGCTTCTTACAGTCTTCATTTTTATTGTTTATATTTTACAATTTTAATTTAACATTTCTAGGCATTTTACAGTATAATATACTTAAGTGTTCTTCCATAAAAGTAAAGTCTGCCAGTTTGAGAGTTGTTCAGCTTTGCCAACTCTTCCCAGGAAAGCAGTTGTAAAGTGAGTGATATTCTCGCTGTGCCTAGGCTGCTCTTCTCTGGATATACTGAAGAAAGTATGAATAAAGCTGAATAAAGAGGTCTAGGAAGTTGGCTAACAATTAAAATCTGAAAGCTAGCTAAACTTCCCTGTTCTGTCTTGGAGTTACTGACTTTGAATTTCATTTTCTATGATAGTCCAGTTTTACTGGTAACTAAACTACTTATGATACAGAAGTCCCCAGTGTGCTTAGTTTTGGGCCTAGCTGAACACCTCAGCCTTGCAGTGGGCTACAGGGTTTCTTGGCCTCAGCACTGTTGACATTTCAGGCTGAGTAAATTTTTGTTTTGGTGCTACTGTGTATTTTAAAATGTATTTTAAAATGAGAAACCTTCTTGGCCTCTCCTCAGTAGATGTGGATGTTCCACATCAGCTGTGACAACCAAAAACGTTTTGATATTGTCAAAAGACCGCTGGGGACAAAATCACCCTGGTAGGGAACTACTGATCTAAATCATCTCATTTCCCATCTAAAGGTTCTAAGAACATTGAGGAGTGTGTTTTGCCAAAAAGAAGATACTTTTGATTATGACTTTATATATATAATTATGTTTAAAATAAGAAATTGAACCATTGTATTAAGATGCTAAAAGCTGGCTTTGCTCTGGCCTTTTAAAGGTTAATTATATGGATTATTGTATGTGGTAAATGACTGCTTGTGGCTTAACTAGGGTTTTTTGTTTTCCTTCATTTTTGTAGCTGACACATATGGGTGTAAATCCGCTAGAAGCTGAAGAACTCATCCATGATGAAGATAATTCTGATTTTGAATTCATAGTCTATGACTCCTGGAAAATATCAGGCAAAACAGCAGAAAACACCTTTAATAAAACCCATACATTCCACTTTCTGTAAGATTATTTTAAAAATCC